CACATCTAACATACTGTATATTTACATATTTCCCATAACCACTCTGGAAGGTTTTACCCCCTTCATGACCAGGCCATTTTTTGCTATTTAGCGTTGTGCTATTTTAACTGGTGATTGCACGGTCATACAACGTTGTACACTAATGAAATTTATATCATATTTTTCACACAAATAGAGATATCTTGTGGTGGTATTTGATCATCTCTGTGGTTTTTAATTATTTTATTACATAAACAAAAAAAGACCGAACACTTTGGAAAAAAAATAGTTTTTTTACTTTCTGCTTTAAACCATACCCAATAAAAAAAATTCTAAATCTAATTTCTTCATAAATTCAGCCCAAAATGTATTCTGCTACATGTCTTTGGTAACCCCCCCCCCCCAAAGTGTATATTGGTTGGTTTGTGTTATAGTGTCTACAAACTATGGTATATATACTGGAATTTTTATTTATTTTTTATACTTGTAACGGCGGTGATCACTATTTTATAGTTGGACTGCAGTAGTGCAGCGGGCAATCTGACACTAACTTATGCTGGTTGGGAGGTACACTGTAGGGTTTATTTACTAAAACTAGTTCACTCAGCATCTGGTGCACCTGTGCATGGTAGCCAATCAGCTTCTAACCTCAGCTTCTTCAAATAAGCTTTAGCAATAAAACCTGTAAGCTGATTGGTTTCTATGCAGAAGTGCCAAAGATTCTGAATGAACCAGCTTTAGTAAATAAACCTAACTGACCAACTAACAATGACATTACTAGTGACACTAATACAGTGATCAGTGATAACACTATAGACTGTCACTGTACTAATGGCACTGGCTGAGAAGGGGTTAAAATCTAGGGGCAATCAAAGTGTTAACTGTGTGCCTAACAATGCCTATGTTAGTTGTTACATTATGTGTGCTGCTTTTCACTAAAAATCTATTTGTTGCTTCTCCCTGATTTGTGCAGCTTGCCCACAGTAAAATGTGGGCTGGCATTCGGCAAGTGGTTAAACGGGACAAATTACAGAGTAAAATGCACACATTTTGTATGCAGTAACACTATTTATTTTTAAATAAGACAACATCATGAAAAAAAAGCCTTGTTTGTCCTTAAAAAAAAACAATATATGTATTACGTTGTTATCTTTAGTAATGACAAAGTTGTTGCCAAATAAGCAGAATTGTAAAAAGTGGGGACTTTTTATCATTTAAGGTCCCAAGTTTTTGGCAGATCTCAGATCACAATTTGCCATGGCTCTAAGGCCCTAGAAATTTTTCCTGATATATAATAATCTAACAGAAAAAAATGTCCAAAATTTTCTGACTTGATGTTATAAATAAGAACCCAGAACATAGAACCCCTGTCAAGTGTATTTGTCAGTCCCCATTGTTGGGATTCCCCTCATTTTCTGTACCAAAGGAAATCAATAGCAAATCTCTCCAATGAGGATACAGACTAAAACAAATCAATTTATCAATAAAATGTGGGAAGAGTAAGGCTGGCCATACACTATACAATTTTCTATCCAATTTCTGTCCAATTTTCTTTAGATTTACCTTCAACTATGTAGTGCAAGAGTCTGCCTAAGTCGATACAATTGAAAGTGTTGCTAGGTTTGACCTCCTATTATATTGTTTTTATTAAATCTAAACCAAAATCTCAAGAAAATTGTATAATGTATGATCAGTCTTAGAACCCCTGTCAAGTTATTAGCCTATTATTTCTGCCTCGGTGATGAACACTTCCATCATTACTTTTGTGTTAATAGAGAAAAACAAAACAGAGGGTGCACCGGCCTTGTGCATTACCTTTAAAAACATGTTTATTAAATTTAAAAGAAGGTATTTTACAAAAGTACATGAATATAAGCACATCATATGAGACCGCTCTGTCCAATTCGCAGTGAGTTTCTGAATGGTGAAACGAATGATGGACATCCAAAATGGCTGACGCGTTTCGAGGACTAGCCTCTTCCTTCTTTTAAATTTAATAAACATATATTTAAAGGTAATGCGCAAGGCCGGTGCGCCCTCTGTTTTGTTTTTCTCTATTAGTACTTTTGGAGTCCCCGGTTCTTTGAGGGCAGCAAGGCGTGCATATTCCAAGACATTCGTTGTGTGATCCCTATGACATAGAGTCCATCCCTAAGCGCAGGAGTATTTGGGTTTTCAACTTTCACATCATTACTTTTGCTGTTGTCACAGGCTGTCAACGGGACAGGGAGTGAAGTAAAATCTTCCCATTGCAGTCAAATACACAATAGAAAGAGTCTATCCAAACTTGAAAAAAAAATGGTTTGGGTTATACCAGGGCTGGAAACATGCAATTAAATGTTTTCAATGTAATTGTACTTTGGGAATGACTTACTGTATATAAATATAAAAAACAACAACAAACTGTACCTTAAAGTCATGTACTTTATTCATAGCACACGGGCATCATATTGGTGTTCTGAACAGCACCAAGTCAAAATGCTTTACTGTAAAGTCATGGCTTCTTTTTTGTTCAAAATATTCCTTTATTTAAATACTAGATTTGCTGAAATATTTACAGTGCTGAAAACATTGTTCTAAATGTAAAAATTACATTTTAAAATATATTAAATGTATTAATTGTAGTTACAGTTGTATTATGTTTGCTTTTTGGTATGTTATGCAATACAGCACAAAATTAGGAAAAACACTGTAGAGGTGGAACTGCGTGGAACTCCTTATGCCCTTCCATTTACTCAACTCCTTTCATAAATTCCAGGAATTCTGTAAAACATACAAATGCATTAACATTATTAAAAGGCATAAAAGCATAAATAAATCACTTAACTTTTAACAACCTTGCGGGGTACAGCTTCACAATAAAACAGTAGGTCATAGGAGAGAGGGCGGAGGGTGTTTCCCCTTTGAGTAATCAAGGTTTTCATAGAGCAGAGACCTTACACAGCCTGATATTGGTAATGATGAGATATTTATATGAAATGTCTTTACTTGGTATAATAAATTACAAAAATATACATTTTAGTGAGGAAGGAAGGATATTCCTTAGTTAATGAAACCAATTTTGCTGTGCCGCATATTTTTATTGCAGCACTACAGAGACATAGACTTCAGTGTATCTAATATGTATATGTCATACAAATTATACAAATTAGTTTAGTTTATGCTGTAATTTTACATTTTGATTGATTGTTGACATTTGACATCAACTGTGCCACAACAAAACACATTACTCGGATTGCGGATTACGGAAACAAAAAAGAACATTTCAAAAATGAATTTAAAGGATGGGAATAAAGAAAATCCACTACTTTCACTTGTACGTATGTATTTTTTCCAGTGGAAAGCAACAGAATGACAAGCATTTTGAAGAATTCTGTAGATTTTGCTTTTTGGTATGCAGAACATAAAAAAAGCAACAACATATCATGTATTTGGCCACAGCATCAACAGTTGCTAAGCAACTAAGACCTCCCTTCATGATTTGGGGAAATTATATATAATTATGATTACATAAAGCGAATATGCAAAAGATAAACGTGTTTGGCATTTGTACAATTTTATATACTTTTGGGTTACGGATTAAGAAAAAAAAGTTTTGTACTATTTGAATCTTAAGTACTTAAAGGGTAAGTGCACCTTTAATTGTATCTTATCATTGTTAGCACTCCCTCCCCTCTCCCAATGTTTTTGTAATATAACATACTTAGTGAAAATGCAGCTTCTTGTGTATGTGTAGCCTATCCAGTAATGCATAACATTTTTTCTTCAGTATCTTTTTACTTTTGCACATCCCCTCAGCATGTTTGGCCCAAACCCTATTTACTCCAGTGAGAAAGCCTGTTAGCAGCTGGACAAGATGCATACAGGCTTTTTAATGAAGTGAATGGAGTGTAGGTTTAAGAGTAACTTGTATATATAAAGCCAAAACTTTATTCTTTTTTTGGATGGAGTAGTGAAGTAGTGAGCATCCATGAGATTTCTCTTTCATATCCTGTCCCAGGGACAGTACAATAAGCATGGTTATATATCTCCAAGGAGGAGGGAGTCCTACTATATGCTATTGAAGCCCTAATCTGCATTAATTTCAGCACACTATAGCATTCCACTTATAATTACATTGGAGCCCTACCTTTCCAGTCCACACTTATAAACCCTGATGAAATAGGAGTGTCCAAGCCCACAAAAAAGCATTGGATGTATAATTCTACCATGACCCCAATATTAAGTATTTTAAAATCTTTTTGGACTTCACAATTATGGGTTTGGCACTTTTATTTCATTTTCTAATTCTGGACACTTTGCAATGTGACGTTTTGGGTCTCCTGGCTTGTAAAAGCTGACTAATCAGGTTAAGTTCAGTTTTGGTCTCAGTTATATTGGACACTAATAATTGAAGGCCTAGCACCCCATACCTATACCACAGCAACATAAAACCTGGCAAAGGGTTCTATCCCTTTCCCTAGGTTCACACTACATTTGAATGGACTGCTGTGCTTGCGTTTCCGGCAAAAGGTTCCTGCACATTTTTCAAAATGTGGATGCAGGGAAACCACATGGTGCTTTTGACCATGCAATTTCCCTGCAGTTCCTGCACCCACGAATGCACTGTGGGTTGAGATGCATGGAGGTGCCATTAAGAATGAATGACAGCCCTGCGCCTCTCTTAAGAGCAGAGCAATTTGGATGCTGGTGGTTGCAGATGCAGGAACAGCTGTGATGATCCACAACCACCCCTTACAGTGTGAACCTAGCCTTCCACATGTTATCCCAAACAAAATGTTTTGGCATTACATACAGTACATTTTAAATTTCATAACCTATTCATTTTACTCTTATTTCCATCTGGGCACTATTGGTTCACAAATGATGCTACTGGCACAAAAACAAATTCACACAATAGCATGTGTCCAATGTCCATGTTCCAACCTAAAGAACTACTCACCATCATAGTCAATTCTGTCATCATTGTTTTTATCTCCATCTATCATCAATTCCTCAATGTCATCCTCTGTGATGGTCTCTCCAGTTGCTTCCAACATACCCTTCAACTCTTCAAGGTCTATGAAACCATCAGCATTCCTATAAAAGTTGAGGTTTTCATGTTAGAATGTGTAAATCTAATTTCATTGATAGATGTATGTTTAATTGATATAAAATATAGGGTAAACGTAACCTCCCTAGCGGTACGATTATGTCAATATTTCTGTGCTAAAAGCGTACATTTTTTTGCATGGAAATATGTCGGGTTTTTTTATTGTAGGCTGTAATTTTTAGGAATAACTCACTGAAATCTGTCCGAACAAGAGTCTAGTAAACATCCCGGGTATGATAAAATTTGAAACACGAAATCATAAATTATAATGTAATAAATAATCATAAAAAATAATAATATAATAATAATGCATTTAATTCAATATTATAATCAAACCAAAAACACTGAAATTTGAAATATAGTTCGCACATCACTGAGCTTAGTCGCAAAATCGTTTTCAGTGTCTGATGAGGAATTTCCCCACGAATCATTATCACTCAATTCTGCAAGTGGTTCTGATTTACTATCGCTGTTCTCTAGCTGGTCTAAAACCGCTTTTGACCTAAAAGGGACGCTTTTTGGACGCCGTGGACATTTCTCAGTTTCCAGGCAGAAAGAACAGTCAAAAATGCAGGCAGGGCACAGGACAAAGCATTAGGGACAAAATGTATGTGAAATGCTTTGAAACAGTAATGTGATTTTAGTGTATTAATGAATGTCACTTTTTAAAAATTTTTAATTTCCCGCCAGTTCCGGCCCCCATATGTCCCGTACGTCCCAACGCTCGCAGGGACCGGAACCCATAAGACAGATGCCAGCATAAGCCGGAGGAGATGGCCGAGGACGCTGCAAGGGACACATCACGGGAGCGCAGGACAAGGTAAGTGATCGAAGGAATCCGGGAGCAACACTGCAGGGTAATCCCGAGTGTAGCTCGGGGTTACCGCTTTTGGCACTGATATTAACCCCGAGCTACACTCGGAAATACCACCAGGGAGGTTAATAGAGCAGTATGGGTTTCTTAAAAATATATACTCATCAAGGTGGATGCAGCATCAGCCTGATGCTGCATGTGTCCTCACTTCTTCTAAGACTGAGAACTGAGCGATCAAAGACCACTGGTCACTTGGTTCTTAGTCTTCAGTGAGCATAGAGCCAGTGACTGTCAGTCACTGGCTCTCTTCTCTGCCCCTCCAGTGCTCACTGGAGCACTGGGCTGTGGAGGGGGTGGAAGCAGCTGGCCTAGGCTCTCAATGGCTCACTGTGAGACTGAGCCAGCTGCCGGTAAGAGAACTGGGTGGATCTAGACTGTAATGCCTGGTTAGGCTGAGTGACATCAGCCAAAAGCAGGCATTAGCCTGCAGTCAGCTGAAAACGGGTCACAGGAGTGCAAAACAAAGTGCACTCCTATGATCCATAGGAGAAGTAGGACCAAAAAAGCTTTGGCCATGCCTCTGCTTTAACTAGTGTGGTTGGACAAGCAAACTACCCTGTATTGATTTGCATAGCCATGCAAAAACGTTCCTTAGAAGTAACAAGGTTTAGATGTGCAATGTCTATGATCACAAAAAGGGTCTTTAATGGTTATACCAGTCTAGTAGGAATAGTGAATGTACGTCCCCCAGGGGCACCACACTGTAACCTTGTTCATGTATTTTGCTGATTACCACCCTTAACCATGTCCTTTTCAATGTGAAGATGTCATCTGTAAACACTTATACTTTGTTTATGATTAATAAAAATATTAGTGTTAATAAAAATTATGTTTTTCTTTGCATATTTATTTCATTATTTATTTCAGGTACTTATGTAGCGCCATCAATTTACACAGCGCTTCACATATATATTGTACATTCACATCAGCCCCTAACCCTCAAGGGGCGTACAATCTAAGGTCCCTAACTCACATTCATACATACACATACTAGGGACAATTTAGACAGGAGCAAATTCACCTACCAGCATGTCTTTGGAGTGTGGGAGGAAACCGGAGTACCCGGAGGAAACCCACACAGGCACAGGGAGAACATGCAAACTCCAGGCAGTTGGTGCCGTGGCTGGGATTTGAACCAACAACCGTAGTACTGCCAGGCGGAAGTGCTAACCACTGTGCTGCCCAATATGAATATGAAGCATATGAAGCAATGTGATTTCCTAACACATAAATCATTGACATCTTTATATTTCTCTTCCAAAAAGCCATTGCTATTGTGTTCTGCAGTTTGTAGATTGCATTTCCCTGAGTTTTCATCCATCTCTCTGTTGTATCTGTCTCATTTCATTTCCCAGTTTGCACAGAATTTGAATTCACAATATAGACATTGCCTGCATTGTCCTACAGTATTTTTTTTCATCTTTGCGAGATATTCACAGAGATGAATGCACATCTAAAGGGGTGCTGGGGGATTGCAACTCCTTTGCATTACAACTTACAAAAGTAGGCAGTAAAATGTAGGGCTTGTTCACACCAAAACATTATGGTACTGCCAGTAAAATACGTACATTACTTCCATGCACAGTAACTCTGGCATGCATGCATTGATGCATTGCAGTGTCATTAAAGCTGAAGTTCAGTGAATTTGTTTTTAGGATACCGCACCATACACTCTAGGTATGTGTAATGTGTATACAATTACCTGCAGATGGCTGCTTGTGCTCAAAATACTTCATGCTCTGTCCTTTTCACAGCTGTCAGATACTGCCCTAAGTGTCTGTCTTTTGACATTAGCAGCAATTCCTAATCAAGAAAGTTGCAATGCTTGTTTGCCCCTCCTGCCTCCTCTGCTGATCACAGAACATGTCTTACTACACTCCCATGATGCACATAGTTCTGTGAATGGAGAAGTAGCAGCTGAATGACAGCATCTCCTCCACCCTTTCACAAAACTCAATGGTGGTGTAATAAGCTCCTCACAAGACCTCCTACTCTCTAGCTCCCTGGTCTCCTCCTCCCATGCTCATCTCCAGGACTTCCCCCATCCTCTGAAACTCCCTACCCCAATCCATCAGACTATCACCTACTCTGCTCACCTTTTGGCGCACTCTGAAAACCTATCTCTTCAGGAAAGCCTACCCCGCCCTCAGGTAATTACTGAACTCCTCCACTCTTCCTACCACTCCATCCCCCACAGCTATCTCCTCCTGTACCACTATCCCCTCCCTCCTAGATTGTAAGCTCCAAGGAGCAGGGCCCTCGAACCCCTCGTGTATTGAATCGTATTGTTACTGTACTGTCTCGTGTATTGTCTCCCCCATAATGTACAGCGCTGAGCAAACTGTCGGCGCTATATAAATCCTGTATAATAATAATAAGTTGAGTTCTATGAAGGGCAGAGGAGGCAGGAGGGGATGGGTGAGCAGTTCAGCTTTTCTGATTAGGAGCCACTGGTGTTAACCTTCACAGCACTGGAGGACAGCTGCTTGAGGCAGTATTCAGTGGCTTTGAAGAGCGCACAACATGGAGGATTTTGAGTAGAAGCAGCAGCCTGCAGGTAATGGGATACACATCACTAGATGCCTAATATTTATGGTGCTTTATACAAAAAATACATTTTTACTTAATGTAAGCAATAAAAAAAATCACATTTTCAACTTGAAATGATACTAAGGGATAACTTTGTTTGGTTAAATTAAAAAGATATGATGCTTACCTGCCCCCATCGATGATATTGTACAGAAAGGTCTCTTATCTCATCTTCTGGCAGTAATTTGCCAGTGTTGCCTGTTCCTCCCTCCCATCCTCCATAGTAAGCTGGGTGCTATGGAGGCACCTATATGTCCACACTCCTGAACCAGACTGTGTTCATCCATAGACTCATACAGCACCATTAAGCCACACCCCAGCTCCCTCCTCACTAGAATTTTACTGGCAGGAGCTATGGCTCCTTCTGCCATCAGTGTTATCTGCAATATCAGCAAGTGAGGGGAGCGATGTTACAGCCATGACAGTGCTGGACAGGTGACAGGAGCCCGGTAAATGTTTAGGGATGGGGGTGGGTAAAACAGGTAGTGAGGCGTTTTTCACCTTAATGCAAGGAATGCATTAGGGTAAAAATATTTTGAATCTAGAACCACTTTAGATATGATAAAATTTATCAAGCCATTTCCACCCCATTATACAAATTTACAAATTCTTATGTACAGGAAATATTGAAAATGGTGCTATTAGCACTGATATGACAAATAGAAATAACCCAAAGAATGAAGAAAACAACACAAAGTACCTGCACTCACCAAGATCTATTAGAAAAAAACGTATGTATATTATTATAAACTCGTATGATAAAGAACTGGAAACACTCAACATTGTACATAATAATAAAAAACAATCATTATTTATCCTTCAAACTCTCCAATCACAAAAACTTATTAAAAATAGACAGATCTTAAAAAAAAGGGGCACCCAACTTTATTCAGGCCTGTATATAAATTGCTGTTAAAATACAAGGGCACTTTAAATCCTCTGTCAGGTAATAATACATATAGTCCCAGTTTTTAATAAATTTTAAGTGGAATCATATTTCATGTTTATGTGTAGAAAGTGACTAAATATCAAATCTTGCTGTTCAGCATCATCCTGTTTATATGCTAAGACTAGTGGAGATTAATAGCCCATATTCCATATGGTTGGTATACTTTCATACCTTTAACACTGGAGAGATGCTGCAAGGACGACATTCAGTATTCAATGTGAGCTCTCTAACACATGTGCTATAAATTCATCAAATCTTTTAGTGTCCCATGTGAATTGCTTTAGTATTAAGGCATTGCGCATGCTAATAAGCCACTGTGCAGAATTGTGATGGAAGTGTACACTTTACATAATGAGAGCAGAATGGATTTAGATCTGGTACACAAAAGTGGTGTGCCTCCATCCCTATTCAATGCTACACATGCCAATTTTATGCACAAATTCACAACCCATTTTAGTGTGATGTATTAGATGGAAGACACCAATTGATATTTTATGCTTAACTGATTTGTTTATCCAGTGATGTGCCTCATTTAAAGTCAGATGGGCAAAATGAATCATGTTGTGTACTCTACGTAATGAGTACATCTTTGGAAACATTTATTAACAGTAGGGATATGCCTGCCATAGGTTTTTAACATGTGTTGTTTCAATAACTTATATACATTATAATAATACCTGGAGTAGGGTTAAAGTGGTTGATTCACTAAAGGAAAATAGGCTGTACACTTTGCAGGGAATTATTTTTTTTTGCAAGGGGATTTCTCTTAATTTGGTGAACGTAGTGAAAATTCAATTCAAGTAAACCCAATCATGTTAAAGGGAAATTAAAAAAAAAAAAAAGTACTTGCACATGATTGGATCATGGAGGTCAACAGAGTGAGAGGTTGCTGCTGTGGGACTGCACCTGTACCCACAACCACCTGCAAAGAAAAATGTGCTGCTACTCAGGAGATCTGTGGGGGTACCATTAATCCTAATGGCACCCCCCAAGCACTGGAAACTGAAGCATATTTTTCCTCACTTTTTTTCCCATGGTTTTCCTGCGGCCACGCTTTCTGAGAAAGGTGAAAAGTCCTTTTCCCTGCGTTTTCAGTGGATACAGCAGCCCATTCAAATAAATGAGCAAAAGTAGCCACAGGGAAACCGCATATGTGAACTAAGACTTAAGAAATTCTAACATTACATTGTGAAATATGACTTCTACTTTAGTGAAAAAGCACAGAATATTTTAAATACCATTTCCTACAAACAGAGAAGACAAATGGAACACATTACATTTAATTTTTGAACCAAGCATAATTATCACACTTAATTTCACTTCTGGAAATTGTATGTAAGTGTGACATTTATGAAATTAGACTGATTAATTCAAAAGTAGTTTTTATTAAGGTAAAACTTTCACTGTACGCTTTGTGCACTTATGATTTAGGATTTTTTTCATCTCTCTTTTTGTAAGAAAAAAAATAGTAGTGTTGTGACCTAATTCTAGCTATTCTTTACATTTAGAAAGACTGAAGATTGCCCCCCCCCCCCCCCCCCAAGTATTAATACAGCAGTATGTGTTTACTGATAAACACACTGATGTATACTATTTCACAAAATATTGAGTGCCTTACAAAAGACCATTGACCTTTTACTCACTTCAATGAATGACACCTAAATGTTAGTATATGTGATCTTTATCTTTCAAAGAACCAAAACACAAAGTAAAATTTTAGTGTGACATAAATGTTTTTAAAAGAGCAATGTCAGGCATCCAGCAAAACAATAAGTGTGCTAATACTTACTGCTATAAAGCAGACAATAATTTGCACTAAAATCAGAAAAGATAGCAACTCTTTGGCTTACTCAGAGTGTACTTCCCGAAGCCCATGCAGTTTGAATCTGATTGATGACTCTGAGATACTTCTTAACAATGGCATCAGGATTTCTATATGTGAGAGACAGCAAGGTGCCTGCAGTGGGTGTGTCTGGGAATAACCCTTCAGCTTCACAAGAAGGGGTTCTCATGCCAGTTACAGTCATGCTCACTATTCTATGCACAAATCCCATATTCCATAGGTTGTAGTCCCTAGTCCATCTCAGGAGCAAGCAAAAGGGCTGGCTATGTTTCTACACACAGTAAAGAACAAAAGTAGCCACTCTCTAACAGGAAGTCGGATCACAGCAAAAAAAAAAAAAAAAAGGAATCTGGAGGCAGCTGAGAGCAACAGAAGGTACTTTTTTGAGTTTGGAACACATACTTGTCTAAGATTCATGCTAAAATTGGCGACATCCTTCAAGAAAGGGTCGAATACTATACAAAACTGTGGGTACCTCACTTCCTACTTCCCCACTTTGATGATTCTTTATTACTCCCTTACCACATCTACCTGGGTTCCCAATATTCATACCCCTGATCTTCTATAGAGCCCCAGACACCGCTTAGCCTCATAGGGTAGCCCCCTTGCTTTAACCCTCCCCCTTTTCTTTTCCCTGTCTTTCCTCTCTCAACTCTTCCTTCAATACAGGACGTGTGTTCTCCTTGAGTTTTCCTTCTCAACCTCAGCTCAGATACCCAATGTAGAACACTTCCTTAAGATCACTTGATTGTCTTTTTCTTCCTCATCTTCTCTACATTGTTGCATTGAATTAACAAAATATTTCTGTCAATCAACTACCTTGGTTACTATTATCCATTTGTTCAGTCCTTTTTGGTGACATTCTTTTTTATAAGCACTTTGTGCATTGAGATATGTCTTGTATTATCGTTTTTGTTTGTACAATGTGCACCATGTCTTTTGCTGTAATTAAACAACAAAAATATTGAACCAGAATACATGAATAGAGTTTTATTTTCTAAAACTATAGTTTCATTTTATATATTAAGCAAGCAGACAGGCTATGCTCTCTTTGTGCATATTAAAATGTAATTTTCATTTTCACTGTAGCAGTTTTTGAATTACTGAAATGAAAAGAAATAACTGAAATGAAAAGAAATAACTGTAGTAAGAAATGTCTAACAGTCTAGGTCCTACAATTTTTGGATGCTAGTACCTATACCTTTATGGGCTTTGTTAACATCACAAAGAAATGAAGAAGGCACACTATTGGCTCAAAGCCCCTGTTTGTTTTGTGAACAGTAAGTAATATGTTTCTGGACAATGGCATTTATCAGATGTGACACTTGATGAATGACAACAATACAAAGGCAAGTTCTGAGACTTGGGCATATATTGTGGGGCATTGAAAGACATTCATTTTTTCTTTTGTAAGCCACTATGGTGTTATTTTGGCATTGAGCCTGAGATCTCAATACTAATAAAGGCATGATGTGCAGTTTTTCTAATATCATCCCTTACTTGTCAAACATTCGGAAAAGTTCTGCTAATTCCTCCTCTGATCTTCCTTTGCTCTCATCCTTCATACATCGGACCATCATGACCAGAAACTCATCAAAGTCTACAGTGCCACTTCCTGAAATGAAAATAATCAGTCAGTTCAATTCTGCAAACAGTACACAAACTATATGTTCTCATAGCTCAAATGATTTAATAATCTAATTACTATGTTCAAGAACTAGGGAATGTTAAAATGCAAAACAAATGCAATATTGATCATTGTTTGCTAGCTCATTTATTCTAACAACACACAACTGACAGACTGACAAGAGATTTTAAAAGGAAGCTCACCTTGCCTGACTATTTTTGAACTAAATACACTTTACATATAATTTCTAACAGTTTTGTGACCTCTTCTCCTTCTGCACTTTAAGGCAAATTTCTGTGATATGCCTAGCCTCTCACGGTGACATATGCCAGCAATTAGGGATGACATATAAAGGAAATAATGACTGTGTAAGTATTTTATTGTTTAATACTGCAATAACACGAAACCTCACAATTTTACATTGGTAGTGAAAAGACTTAATTCTGTGACAAATTACATCACCAAGTTCTATTTATAAAAAAATACAAGTGTGGGAATGTGCTGTTGTGTATATACAGTTTGTTTTTCTCTATTTATGTGTATGTAACTCTCTGAAATCCAGTAATATCAGAGACGTGGGACATTTTTAAAATGTGGAAATCAGCGTAAAAATATGGTAAATGCACAAACAGACTCCTTTGATGGGTGCTGTTCAGCCTAAATTGATCCATTGGGGTTCACTTTGAACGCAAATTTTTTCCCAGGCTTAGTTAATATAGTGACATTTCACTTCGCAAAAAATGCCCAATCACATGCAAGGAAAAAAAAAAACATAATTTTTGCTTGTACATGATTGGATGATGGAAGTAAGCAAAGCTTCACCTCTTGAAGGTGAGGGTATTTAATGACTAAATATGACTGCAAAAGATTTATAACCATAGGTTTATAGCTGCCAGCAACACTTTCTTCAAAATGTCTCTTTCTAGTGACTGTTTTCCTTTACTCTCTTAGACAAGACTTATTCAGTGTGCTGTGGTAGTTAGCATTACATTCTGCTTGCGTTAGACTAAACAAAACTTCAGAAGAGTTTGTGCAGAGCACAATTTGAAGCACTCACCATCTTCATCCACTTCATCTATCATCTCCTGCAGCTCCTCAGGGGTTGGACTTTGTCCGAGCATTCTCATTACCTTGCCCAATTCCTTTGTACTGATGCACCCATCCTCTGCATCTTGCACAAAGATGTCAAAGGCTGCACGGAATTCTGTGAATAGTAGCAACAAGTAATTCAGCTTTATTGATTTGCAGAATTATGTATTAGTTTGGAAAATGAAACTATATTTGAACCCTACCTTGATAACTTTTAGTTTCTGGGAAATCCTTAAAAAAACAATCTACGAGGGATTAACAATACACCAACCAATAACTAAGTATCAAAAGAATTCTCAAAAAACATTGACCTCTTCTAACAGAAGACCCTATCATTAAATAATTTATCAGTGAGATGCCAGCCATTACTTTCAGGAAAGCTACTTCCGATATGGACAAATTGGCAAAAAGAGAATTTAAAGGAGTCAACCAGGGAGACCCTTGTCATTACCCCAGTACGTTTGCCTGTGGAAAATGCTCTTATTGTCCATTTATGTTATGTAAAAACAACATCTTGTTGCCCAATTGAAAAAAATAATAAATTACAACACTTTGCAAACTGCCAAACTGAAGTAGTAGTATACATGCTTACTTGTGAATGAGCCTTTTACATAGAAAGACAAAGCAAGAATTTTGGCATTGAATGTATAGACACATTCACAGTATGAAAGTTTGCAATTCAGATCTTCTAGTGGGCAGACATTCAGCTCTTCTGCATGACCATAAACATGTTAAGATTAAATTTACAGCAATAGATCAAGTTCATATATCACAAAGGAAAGGTTATTGGAATAAATCACTTCTACAATTAGAACTGAAATGGATATTTTAGTTAAAAGCCACTTGTCCACCAGGACCTAATTACACTAAACTGCATTTAAACCTTTTTTTTAAAAGGCTTTGTATCAGGTAAAAAGACAGAATTATACACATCATTTCAGTCTGTTTCACCCATCTTTCCCTCTCTGTTTTCTCATTCTTTATTGTTTTATTTTTCTGTATTATCTTATAGTGTGTTATTTTTTTTCTCTTTGTGAAGGGATGGACACTGCTCAACCAACACCAGGAGTCCAATGTTAAGGAATGGCCTCAGCCGCCATACTGGCCACGCCCTCTGATGTGTTTCACCCCACCTACTGGAGCTTGATCATAGAGGCCTCTCACTTGTATTAGCTGACACTGAAAGTGCTCAGACTCATGCTACCCTCTTCTCACTTGCCGGTGGGGTGATCCTTTTTCTTCCATCCAAGGTATAACATTATACCTTTTTTCTCTTTATTTACCATAGGTATCAGTGTGATTCTAACTATAAATAATCCTATTTTGTGAACTATACATAGTGATACTGTAAGTATATTAATGTTTTGTATAGTCAGTTAATTTTGTGAAATATTTTCCTTTGCTGCTTTTGGTCTTTGTACATCTTCCTTGGGGGTACACCCTCCCTCCCATGTGTTGGCCTCTTTAGATTCTTCCCCCAGTGCGGACGGTGGGAGGTTTAAAGATCATCTGGTCTACGTGCCCCCCTTTTCCTTTTCTTTTGCACTTCTGGCCCCAGTAGCCCTGTTGTGTGTCCAGTGTGCAGGGATGGGTGGACATCCTCAATTTAGTGGCGGCCGTCTCTTACATGCTTATGGCGTCTGGGTGCTGTGCTCTGCGTGACTACATTGTCATGCCCACTGCCGGTGATGCTCTCTTCTAGTAGTGCTGCTTGCTGGCATTACTGCGTATGCACGTGATATCACTTCCGTGACGCCAAGCACTCCCAATACCATCCATGCCGGGGGTGTTGGCTGAAATAGCCGCTACGAAGATGCCAGAGGAGCCATCTTTGTGGGTGTTTTGGCCGGCCTGGATTGCCAATCCACAGCTGTTATTCATCTATACCGGTCCATTTAAACACCTTCAAAATTACTGCTCTTCTTGCAGCACTCTTTGTTCTGATTGAGGACTTACTCTATGAAAGTCACAATTGTAGGTAACCTTCTAAAACTCTGACACATCTTCAAAATATTTACTTTTTCTTTCCTCTATTGATGTATTTTATATCCTGTTTTATCCCTGCTAAAATCTTGTGTGTCCTCACTCATTCGTATTTAATACTCCTATTCACTATTAGAGTGCTTATACATGAATCCCTTTTTTCCTTTTCTGTGTAGACCTTGCTGTGGATGTTGGACTCTTTGGCCAGCTACGGCATCCCATCTTGGCTCTTTGTGAGTTCTTTGGTCCATCACTGTGGGAATGAGGGTCCACCAGGGCAAATTCTTTTAAAATATTTATTATTATGTACTCTTTACTCTGGCAATGAATGTAAGTGATCTTTGATGTTTTGATCTTCAGTCTTTGATACATCTTTCACTTTATAATTGTTCTTTTGCCATTTATTTGCATATCTTTTGTTTACTTACCTAGGCACTTTACCACTCACCCCTGATGAAGACTTTCGAAACGCTTTTGTAACTCTGTGGTGCATAGAAATCTTGTATGACAGGTAATAATGCTTCTATGCATAATATTGTGGAAGGTGTAGATTTGTATTTTTAAAGACATACAGTATATTTGAAATGTATTTTTAAAAATATTTTTCATATAATTTGTAATAAAAACGCATTTCAAAATGCAGTGTATATATATATATATATATATATATATATATATATATATATATATAAATATATATAAAAAATATATTTTGAAATATATTGAATATGGCTAAAATTGGAGCGTTTCAAATATATGTCAATATATTTGGGAAGAATATTTTTAAAACATATTTCAAATGTATTTTTCTTCCATTTGGGTATATAGGTCATTTTCATTTGACTGCACTTGGTAAAAGGGTTGAGTACAGGGATTCTAATCATCAGCAACGTAGTGGGTGAGGACTCTTTAAGTGAATGGACGAAGCACAAATTCAATTTAGGACATGTAAAAATATATACATAAAGTATAAAAAATCGAATAGTCACCATTCTTTTGTTCTTCTGTAAGTTGCTCTACCTGTAAATAAGAGAGCAAAAGTACGAATATTGAAATAACTTAAAAAAAACTGATTACATGTACGCTTTGGTATACCACTGTAAACCAGAGATGCATGCACTGCTGCCTGGGAAATGATAGAGGTCACAGTACAGTGTTACCAACCATCCATAAAATTACAGACAATTTGTGAAAAAAAACAGACATTTTTCTCCTGTCCGTAATTGTCTGTGGACAGGAGAACAGTGCCATAAAGAAGATCTGCTTGTCGCTGGCTCCAAACTTCCACAGTGGCAAATTGACTTGTAGTTCTCAATGGACTATGAGCATGCTGATCAATGCCCTTGTAGTCCATTGACACTTTCTACAGCTCAGCATCTGTCTGCCCATACAGAGGTAAGGGCAGAAAGCTGTACTAAGTGTCTGCAGGAGTTTGACATTGCATCCGTGATCCACTGTTTGCAGGTGCAATGCTCTGCAGGCTCATGAGAAAAGAGATGAGGAACAGATCAGGCAGGCTACTTAAAGATTATCCAACAAGGAAAATTTATCTGAACCATAAAAAATGCTTCCAACATTGCAAGCACTCATTATTTTCTCCTAGGAGCACAGGCTATATGATCCCATATTTGCCCAAGCTACTCTTTGGGTCATCAGATTGTTGGTAGGCTAGGTCTTTTTTCTGCCCAGCATAAATGACTTATAATGAATGTATATTTGAATCATATCAAGATGAGAATCTATTATTCTACTATAGATAGAAGTATACTGTATTTTCAAAGTATACTGTATTTTCAAAGACATTCTTTATTGCTTAGTATTTTACAGATACCAGACTGTATGGATTAAATTGGTTAAAATATCAATTTTGCTTAGACTGGTCAGTTGTGAGTGAAAAAAATAAAATATATTTTCAGTTCTCTATTCGATTCACAAAAGCATTGAAGGGTGAAATGTGAAACCTATCTGTCACCAACTCTCTCAAGAAAAGAAATATCAGCTGTCCAGCAGTCATTTTATTGTCCTGGCCTTGTAGTCTGAAGTCTAGATGCTAAGGCGTTCGGTAAGTTTGGAAGACATGTGCTTGTTACTACTTTTGTACTTGGAGTAACTTAATCCTTATTGCATGTGTCCTATTTCTGTATGGTGGCTAAGAATGTGTTGAGTGTTGCCTGGACCCACCATATTCTTTTTACTGAGTCAGATGACAGGTAAATGGTACAGATTTTGGGAATCTCAGATGAAAAGAATCATTATTTTGAGATTTGGTTTTAGTTCAAAGTGTAATTCCAACCAATTTCTAACTAAGGCTTGACCTACTGCCACCCAATAAGACTATTCTATCTACCCTGAGAAGGAAAAGATGTCTATACTTACCTATTTTGAAGTCGCTCTGTTCTGGTCACATGATTGGGCCCCAGCTCCAGCTTCAGCAACAATGGCTGTAGAACTTGGCTGAAGGGTAGCAACAATGGCTGTAGAACTTGGGAAATTACGTCAACTATAGGCTTTCTATGGGGTAGTCTCCTCTACACTGAAGCCAGTGTTTGACCCGATCATGTGACCAGACTGGAGTGGCCACAAAATAAGCAAGTATAGACATAATTTCTTTAACAGGGTAGATAGAATAGTCTAGAATGAGGAATAGGAGTAGTTTTAGCGTTAGCTAGCATTTGACTGGAATTACATTTTAACATATGGCAGGATCTAGGGGGTGCTGAAGTGGGCTATTTCCCCCCAGATTTTAGTTGTAACCCCCCCCAAAGCCAACTGCCCCCTTCCCCCCACTCTGCCCTGCCCTAACATTCCACTATAGTATCCTAACCCGCCCACTATACTACCCTAACCTTCCACTATACTGCCCTTACCTGCCACTATACTACCCTAACCTACCACCATACTGTCCCAACCTGCCACTATACTGTCCCAACCTGTCACTATACTACCCTAGCCTGCCACTATACTGCCCTAACCTGTCGCTTTTCTACCCTAACCAGGGGCGGACTGACAAATCATGGGGCCCCCGGGCAATGGGGGATCATGGGGCCCCTGTGTCCTTGCCCACACTCAAAGCATACCCATAAAAGCCTATAAAAAGGTACCAGGGGCATTTCATGGGGCCCCCTACTGACCCCGGGCCCTCGGGCAGTGCCCGAGTGCTCGAATGGTCAGTCCGCCCCTGACCCTAACCTGTCACTATACTACCCTAACCTGCCACTATACTACCCCAACCTGCCACTATACTGTCCTAACCTGCCACTATAATACCCCAACCTGCCGCTTTACTACCCTAACCTGTAACTATACTGTCCTAACCCACCACTATACTACCCTAACATTCCACTATAATATCCTAACCCGCCACTATACTACCCTAACCTGCCACTATACTACCCCAACCTGCCACTATACTGTCCTAACCTGCCACTATAATACCCCAACCTGCCGCTTTACTACCCTAACCTGTAACTATACTGTCCTAACCCACCACTATACTACCCTAACATTCCACTATAATATCCTAACCCGCCACTATACTACCCTAACCTGCCACTATACTACCCCAACCTGCCACTCTAACTGTCCTAACCTGCCACTATAATACCCCAACCTGCCGCTTTACTACCCTAACCTGTAACTATACTGTCCTAACCCACCACTATACTACCCTAACATTCCACTATAATATCCTAACCCGCCACTATACTACCCTAACCTGCAACTATACTGCCCTTACCTGCCACTATACTACCCTAACCTGCCACTATACTGTCCCAACCTGCCACTAACCTGCCTATACTAGACTAACCTGCCACTATACTGCCCTAACCTGTCACTATACTGTCTCAACCTGCCACTATACTACCCCAACCTGCCACTATACTGCCCTAACATGCCACTATAATACCCTAACCTGCCACTATACTACCCCAACCTGCCAATATACTGTCCTAACCTGCCACTATAATACATTAACCGGCTGCTTTACTACCCTAATCTGTAACTATACTGTCCTAACCCACCACTATACTACTCTAACCTTTCACTATTCTGCCCTAACCTGCTGCTTTACTACCCTAACCTGTCACTATACTGTCTCAACCTGCCACTATACTACCCTAACCTGTCACTATACTGCCCTAACTTGCCACTATACTGTCCTAACCTGCCACTATAATACCCTAACCTGCCACTTTACTACCCTAACCTGTCACTATACTGTCCCAACCTGCCACTATACTACCTGAACCTGTCACTATACTGGCCTAACCTGCCACTATAATACCCTAACCTGCCGCTTTACTACCCTAACCTGTAACTATACTGTCCTAACCCACCACTATACTACCCTAACCTGTCACTATACTGCCCTAACCTGCCACTATACTACCCTAACCTGCCACTATACTGCCATAACCTGCCACTATACTACCCTAACCTGCCACTATACTGCCATAACCTGCCACTGTACTACCCTTACCTGTCACTATACTACTCTAACCTGTCACTATAATACCATAACCTGCCACTTTACTACCCTTACTTGTAACTATACTTTCCTAACCCGCCACTTTACTACCCTAACCTTTCACTATACTGTCCTAACCTGCCACTGTACTACCCTTACCTATCACTATACTACTCTAACCTGCCACTATAATACCCTAACCTGCTGCTTTTCTACCCTATCCTGTAACTATACTGTCCTAACCCACCACTATACTACCCTAACCTGTCAGTATACTGCCCTAACCTGCCACTATACTGCCATAACCTGCCACTATACTGCCCTAACCTGCTGCTTTACTACCATAACCTGTCAGTATACTGCCCTAACCTGCCACTATACTGTCATAACCTGCCACATACTATCCTAACCTGCCACTATACTGCCATAACCTGCCACTGTACTACCCTTACCTGTCACTATACTACTACTCTAACCTGTCACTACACTACCCTAACCTGCCACTATACTGCCACTATACTGCCCTAGCCTGCCACTATACTACCCTAACCTGCCACTATACCACCCTAATCTTTTACTATACTGCCCTTATCTGATACTTTACTGCCCTAGTCTGACAGTATACTGTCCTTGCCTGACTCTACAGTATACTGATCTCAGCTATGCATTGTTTAGGGAGGAGGAACTCTGCTGCCTCTGTCCATGCTGTGTGCAATGCAATGATTGGAGAAGGAGCTCTGCCCTCTGCTCTGCCAAAAGTGACCCCTGTCCTTTGCCCTGCCAGCAGTGTCTCCTGTCCTCTGCTCTGCTGATCCCTGTCCTCTGCCCTGCTGATCCATGTACAGTGCTCTACTAACTAATGGCCCCTGTACACTGCCCTACAAACTGTTGACCCTATATTGTGCCCTGCTGACCACATGTACACTGCCCTGCTAACCTCCTATCCTCTGCCCCCTGACATTTTTTATTTCACCCCCACATTGGACATGCTAGATCCGGCCTTGCTTTAACATTTGCACTTAATTCATATAAACCTTTCATAAGAATATTACAAAATTGGTTATTGTGGAACTTACTGAAAATGCTAGTTACTTGGTTGCTAAGCTGACCCTTAAAACTTGTAACACAACTACAAAACATCTGTATAGACTTTCAAATGCACTAAAATGCACCAAAAAATGTGTATGTAACATATTTGGCAGTATACCGGAGTAATGTATGCCTATCAACAAGGTGGGTAGAGGTGCTACTTAAAATGAATTGTGCCGCAGTGCGCCAACGTGCATGCACACACACAAGCATTACTGCAAAGAAAAAATGTGAATCTGGCCAAATAGTTCAATTTACTAAACTGGAAGTATACAGGCCTGAAAAGTCAGAAAAAAAAATCAACATTATTCATAGCTTCACTTGATCCTGGCCCGTGATTCAAATTATTAAAGTGAAAGGGCTAGCAGCACAGCCAAGTAACTAACATTTTGAGGGAGAGGTCAGCAATGTCTCTGCGTATATAAGAAGATCTGAAGATGGAGGTGCAGAATCTATCTTGGCAAATAAAAAA